AAGAACCACTGATTAATACTTAAGTGTTTCATCATTACATTATTACCTATTGACAATTAATATTGATCTGTCACCTGTGAATTGTAAATTGATGCATAGCACGTTGAATGATTTTTGGTATAATTTGTAAACCTGACAGGTACAATAMGAAAMAAAATATTTTTGTGTTGATTAAAAAATATAATAGTGATTGAAATAATTATTGTACTTGGACATAACAATATGTGAATACTTGGTGAGTAGTTATAATATATAAATATTTAATTACATTTTACTTTTACAATATTCTTCCTTAGMCTTAACTGGTTAGAAATCATCACTAATTTATTATGAATAGCTTGACAGAAAAAGTTGCCCATCGGTCACTTGTGACAATTTTATTTATTTGTATTGTTTATTTATTTGCTTAACAAGACGTCTACACTACTTTTGCTTCAGACGTTCCTAGAGGATAATTAGGAATTATATTGGTTGATGAGTTTTAGATTAAGGGGTTAGTCGTTAGTATGAGCCCCAAGGCCACCATAGAAGTGTGGGACTTCTTATAATCATTTTTTGATTCTTTTTAACTGTTTTTATGTACCTACAAATCGGTATGAAGGGTGTGACTGAATACGCATCGCCCAGTGTTATATTATTTTTCTTTGAATCATATTTTATTTTATGACAAACTAGTTAATCCTGTACGGCGTACGCTGTATAGTGTTGCTCGTTACGAATTAAATAGGTACCAAGGATTTACATCTTAAACTCCGTTCAAACTACCTATTTTCTTGCTGAATCAATTGACAACTATTTTATTATAATCTGTGAATTTGCACAAAGGGTCAGTAGGCCTCTGTTTTTTTTTTTTTTAGTACTTACCTTTTTGTAATAACGTATCTTAAACTCTGTTAAATTTATTATTTGGGCGGTTTTAATCAAGTATAAAACAGATTCCATAATGATATACAAAATAAATATAAATAAATTATATACCAAAATATAAATGTATAGGACCTATGCAACAAAATATATAAATATATATATATATATAGGTATAAAAATATGTTAATTTTTCAACAAATTTCTGTAGTCCTTTTAAATGTAAAATTTAAAAATATGGCTTCGAGCTTTGAGGTGTACACGTGCTCAACAATAGGATTACGACTTATGTACACTCATCAAATTTCAGAACTATGAGTGCGATACATTTGGCTGTAGATAATACACACACTTACAGCAAACATTTATTAAAAATATTCATTGATATTACATTTACTTTTTAACACATTACATGTTTGCACTTTACTGGTATAAATAGGTCGCTATAGTTGTAATGAATATGATAAATTTTAATTTAATAGTTATTATTTTAATTGTATRAGAATAATTATTCAGAGCGAAGACTGTACATTTTTACATTTTTTACTAGTAAGTAGGTAATGATATTATTTTGGAAACAATATTTCCTATAAGTATAGATTTATAATATTATAATAAGCTAAAATAATTGTTGACGAAAAAAAAATCAATAATTATATAGGTATATTGACATTTGACATATTGTAATAAATTAATAATTAAATTATTATTAATGATATTTATGACCAAGGTGAATATGTAAAAGTCCCACCTATATATATATATGTATATCCACCTTGTTTATGACTTAATCTATAGCTGTTATATTTATAAATCAATACCATTGTAGCCTCGTATAGGTAGTGTAGAGCTGTCCTAACCTAATGCTACACCTAAAGCGAAACGTATAGGTACAACGGCCGAGAGGGCTGCGTCCGAATTGCATGCCAAAAAAAAAAAAATGTCCGAATTKCATGCTGTATTGCTGTGTATCAGCAATAGTTWATTTATTATTATTATACCTAATTATTWTTTAAATTATTTTTTTTTAAAACTCGACCAAATTTTAAATTATTGTAATTTWTTATTTATTTAAAATATACCATGTACAAATRTAAAATACATTCAGTTTATTATACTAAACTAAATGTAGCGAAATCCCGTTCTTTCAGTGGAAAATTAAGTTAAATTAGAAAAGTTCAAAACAGGCACGCGGCGTAAAAGCTACGCCCATTACTCGTAGTCGGCGACCGGCCTACGATTTTTGCTTACCTCACTCCAGGATGCCAATTTCCTGAAAACGAACTATCAACCTTCATACTCTCCCTCAATCACACATTCGTCATTGGAGCCGACTAACAACGCTAAGCACCTAAACTGGGGCTCCAGATATACCAACACAAGAGGYCGTTCCCTTCYCAGGGTCATGAATGTCCTCCTCACCCGCTAAAACTATCACTACAGATTCTCCTACATACTGGCCTACGCATGCTAACAGACACCCGGAAATCCTTGACTTCTTTCTGTCAAGCCTGCCAAACCACCTCAAAACTCAAACAACCAACCTAAATGATCTTGTTTATTTTTCATGATAGACCTCAATTCGTTCTTCACTCTTTTTAAATCGTTCACATTGTTCACAATCAACTGAAGTTATTGGTGTGAATTTAAGCTTAAAATCATTAAGTTATGRTATTAGGTCTGATTAAATTTTATAATTTTTCTTATATATTAGGATACATGGGATAATAATGATTTTTTTAAATAGCCAATGGCATTACTTTATTTAGCAATATTTTCATTCGTTCTTTCTTCTCTTTTTTAAGCTTTCGCTTAGCGGCTCCACTTGTACATTGGAGGGACATTGTAATAACTAGGGATGAGAACTTATAGGAGCTAAAATAGACAAAATATGCAAGGAAAAATTATGATATGTGCATCAAAAATTTGAAAATATGCAAAAAATATATTATAATATGCAATTTTTTCTATAAATAAAAAATCTTCTAAAAGTTTTTCGATAGTTTTCCCTCGCCTGTCCGTGAAGTTGGATCCCCATAAAGTATTTCTGCTATTGAAATCGCCGAGTAACATGTAGGGACGTRGTAGTTGTTTGATGAAGTTCTCAAGGTCTGAGAGATTGAGGTCAGTGCTATCCGGGGCATATATGTTGCATAACCTGATTTTTTGATTGCTGTTTGAAGTTATTTTTATGGCAATTGCTTCTAATGGAGTATTAAGGGGAATGCTTTCATGTTCTGATGATGTTGAGGCAAAGATACATACCCCTCCACTGGCTCTGGCGTGGTTTGTGCGGTTCTTGAAGTATCCTTTGTAGTTTTTGAGGGAGGGATTTTTTTT